GGGGGGGGGGGGGGGGGGGGGCGTACTCTTATGTTTTGCATGCCTTAGCGATTAGACCATTGACCACGCGTCCTCGAGAGGAAGGAGCATTGTTCCCACAGGACCGATCACCGATGGCCAATCGTTCCTTCCTACTTTGCCCAAAGGTGGCTCAAAAATGTCTTCCCTAGTCTGTCTATCCTAACGATAATCCCTTCCCGCCTTTTCAACCACTTCCTACTCCCCAGTACAGCTACCGTCCTCTCCTCTCTATTCCATGCCTCAAACATCTCCCTGTACGTCCCTTGTATTTTCCCAGCTCAGTCATGTGCACTTCCCTCTCCTTCTTGTACAACTGACACTCCGCGACTACATGAACACGGTCTTCGCATTCGAAGCCGCAGTCACATTTGAACTTGTCGTCTTCGTCGTCTACCGTCTTATGTCTTCGTCGACGTTCTCGACGGCCTATGTCCCCGGTCCTGAATTTGACCTTAAGCTTTGTTCCTGCATCCATTGGTCCATGTAGGTAATCCTTGAACCCTATTCCTTCTTTCAACATTCCGTAGACTTCTAGACCCTCCTTATCCTCGGTTTCTTTCCTCAGATTATGTTCTTCTCTCTCGGCACAATGGGGGGGAGCGGTGGGGGATATGTCAGGATAGGGGAACTCTGGGGATCGGGGCGCAGCCTAAAACAGCGACATTGTCGGGGGACAACCCAGAAAAAAAGAAACAACGCGCGCACACACACACAGGGGGCCCCGCATCATGGATTTTAGTATAATATAAGCATAGTAGAAAAATGTTTTCTCCGCCGCACTCAAGGAGTGACGTGCATTCTCGATGAAAAAAAAAAAAAAAACGCGCATGCCAAAGGCAACACACATGATACCCTGTACGAGGGCCACGCTCCTCGTCTGTCGTTCCGCACGTGCCACGACTGACTACAGCACGCGCCCGCCCTTCAGGACCCAGGAGTTGAAACGAATTGAGCCAACAACAAAAAAAATCAAAGTTCAAGAACTTGAGCATCATTGTTGTGAGCTAGCTCGGTAAAGAACGCCTACACTAAAACCTATGTAGCGATCGTTCGTAGCATGACCCTCGGAATACGGTAAGGAACCCCAGCCTTGGCCGATACTACATAGAGCTTCTAAAGCGCGGGCGCGTTCTGTATCGTATATCGTGTATTCATCGGCCAGCCTCGTGTAGCGCCGTCGATGCCGAGACAAGAAAAAAAAAAACGTATGTTTGCCCGTACACGCGAAATAAGAAGGTCGGTCGGTCACCTCTCTGGGCCACACAAAACGAAAGACGCCCAACAGCCCAAGAAAAGGACAGAGATCATTTTTCTTGTTTCTGTTGAAACGAAAAAAACACACAGCAGCCAACGAAGTAAAAAAAATAAATAAATCTATGCATACCTCTGGGTCGCCCCGGAACCCCCCCCCGCCGCCGCCGCCGCCGCCGCCGCCGCCGCCGCCGCCGCCCTCGGACTGCCACCGCTCCCGACGTCGACGTCATCCCCTCCCCCCGCCGCCGCCCCCGCCCTGGCCTTCTTTTGTTGCTCGACCATTTTCCTGCGGCTCATCAGAGCGGACAGCCCGGCAGCAGCGGGAGATTCGTACGAGGCATCGCCAGGGCTAGCGGCTGCGGCTGCGGCTGCGGCCGCGGCTTCTGCAGTAGCTCCCCCTCCACGGTTCCTGGGAAGCGAGGAGCCAGTAGTAGGGATGGGGGGGGGGGGGGGCTCTTGTTGGTAGTCATGAGGCGTCTGTAGAGTGAGTGACGGTGGGGGTGGGATTACTGGTTCTCTACTGCAGTAGTTCCTAGCCATGGGGGGTCGAGGGTCGGGGTTCTATGCTGTTGTCGTTATTGGTATTGTCGTCGTCATTCATTGTTGCTGGTGCTCTTGTTGCTAGTGATGGGGGCATCTCGGGAGCGAGCGATACTTCAGGGGTCGGGCATCAGTGGTGGTTCTTCGCTACGGCTACGCCATGTTGTTGTCGTCATAAATCGGTGTTCTTGTTGCTGTAGTTGTCGGCCGTCTTGCTCCTCCCATCATCACTTTTTTTTTTTCGTCCTGATTGAGCTGACTCGTACGAACCACTCTTTACTCTCGAAAACAAGCCACAACAAGCACAAACCGTGGTGCATACTCGCTGCAAGGATGCGACCGATGCCTTGCTCCTGCCAACACCATTCTGCTATTCCGTCCTGTCTGAGTTGACTCGCGCGAACCGCCCTTACTCTCGAAAACAAGCAGAAAAACCACCACCAACCGCAACAACAACAACAGCAGCAACAACAACAAGCACCAACCGTGGTGCATGTACGCTGCAACGGGATACCACCGCCGCAGTAGCCCTCGCGAGGACACCCTCGCGAGGACATCAAGCTTGGTTTGGTTTTAGTTAGGGGGACGAACCCTCCACTCTCTAGTTCATAGATGAACATAATACAGTACGTTGCATACGACATCCACCCCCCTGGAACGATTTTCAGAGGTCGATTGTTCGGCAGGAAAAACAACAGCGACGGTTCCGACAATGTCTGGCGGCGTTGGAAACCGTCTCGTCGAGAGCTTTACCAAAACGCGGCACTTGACTTGATTTGGCATCCTCTTCTTCGTCTCGTGGATCAGGTGACCAAGCTTTGAAAATGGGCCCCAAGCGGAGTGTGTGGTATCTTGCGTCATGCAACCTACGGTAATATCCGCCAAGGCGGTCCCAGCCCCCCCCCCCCCTTCAGCGCACGGACTGCCTTCGCGAGAAACTAAGTTAATGAGGAAATTGAACAGGGAGGAGGGTACGCAGACCCTATCCCTAACCCAACTTAACCCGATCGCATGCTTTTCTCTAACATGTTTTATAATAGTTGATAAACAAATATCAAACGCTACCGGGACCAACGCATCCCCTCCCTCCCCGCCGTGCTCACCTGGCCTCCAAAGCCGCTTGTTTCTCCTTCTTCTTCCTATGCCGGTAGCTCTTGAACGATTTCTCGAGCTAAAAGACAACAAAAAAAAAACACGCGGCGGAATAGGTGACGCTTCGAGGGTTGGTTCCAACAACCACACCCACCAAAAGACCAAAGCACACCGTCCGCTCTATAGGGCACATGACGCACGCGGTGCAAATGCAACGGCGCTGACATTTGTGACATAAAAAAAATCGGTCCATGGGGTGTGGTAACGCAGGACAACGACCACCCGCCACCACCACCCCCTCAGCACCAAAAACAACGACAACAACAACAAATGTAATCAACAACAACAACAACAACAACACCAACAGCACGACAAACATCAATGACGACAACAACAACACGTATCAGAATCGACCACAACAACAGCAACAGCAGCAGCAGCCACAACAACAGCGACATGATCTACCTGAACCGTGTACCACTTGGTCACTTCCCGCACGGTCGTCAGCGGCTCCACCAGCAGCACCGGGTGCAGCCCCACCGCCAGCTTCCGCAGCAGATCGACCTCCTTCGCCTCCGCCTTCTCCCTAGCCCCGGCCTCAGCCTCAGCTTCTCTCGCGGCTGCCGCCGCCTCCGCCTCCGCCTCGTTGTAACCTTCCGATCGAGCACCGCGGTGACCATCTGCTGCCGCCCCCGCAGCGTCTCCTTCTTGCCCCTCCCCTAGAGCTGCTCCCGGTGCGCCTTCGCCTGCGCCGCTGCTGCTGCTGGTGCCCTCCCGTGTACCGCCACCACCCATGGCGGTGGCAGTGGTGCTGCTGGAAGAACCACCTGCGGAAGCGGCGGCAGCAGCAGCGACCGAAGAGGAAGAAGAACAAGATGCCGAAGCAGCAGCAGCAGCAGCAGCGGTGGCGGCAGCGGTGGCGGCAGCGGCAGAGGGGGATGAATACGAGGACCGGGCCGAAGCCCGGCGGCCCGACGTCCGCCGACCGCCAGCCCCAGCGCTAGCGCTGCTACTTTTAGCCCTGCCGGCCCCACCCTCTTCTCCGCCTGTTGCCGCCGCCGCCGCCGCCGCCGCCGCCGCCGCCCCCGTCGCCGCCGCGGCCGCTGCCGATCCCGCTCCTCCCGAGGAACGCCGACCGCCGGTGCTGCTCTTGCTCCTCTTCCTGCTGCTGCCGCCGCCGCTCTCGCTTCGACCGGGCGCGTGGCCCCCACCGTCCCCCCCGCCACCACCCGCCGTCGACGACAACGTCGGAGACCAGAACCCATCCCCGGGAACCACCGGGGCCCCCTCAGACTGAACAAGACCACCGCCCTCCCCCTGGGACACCCCCCCCGAACCGCCAGCAGCAGCGGCGGGAGGCCTCTCCAACGACGCCGCCGCCGCCACCGCCGCCGCCGTAGGCTTGCTGCTGGCGACGGCACGGCGGGGGTGGGGGGTTGTCTTCTGGAGCGGCCCCGGGGACAGCCGGACGGTGAACGGCCTGACCAGCGCGCGGTACTGGCCGGCCTCGGAGCTGCCGCCGTGGTTGACCACCGAGACATCGTCGGTAAGCGCCTGAAAAAAAAAAAAAACGAATTTTAGCGTGCTTCGTTAACCATCGAGACATCGTCGATACAGTATTATAGCAAGCGCCTGCAACGCGAACGTACGCGTTTGTGCCGGAAGTGCCTGTGCAGTGAACGTGTAGGTGTGTGTGTGTGTGTGTTTGTGTCACGGTTCACCATCGGTAGTCCGAAAGCGCCTGAACAAAGGACAGGCGAATGTAACGTGTTTGGTTGCGCTGTGGCTGTGGTTAACCATCGAGACGTCGACGATACAGTTATAGGAAGCGCCTGAAAAGCGTCTGCGTGTCTTGTGCCGTAAGCGCGTGCATTGTAGTGATCTGTGTGTATCGTAGTTTGTTGAACCATTGAGACGTCGTCGGTAAGCGCCCGAACGAAAAAAAAGCCAAGTTTGTTGTCGAAGACGGAATCAACTGCAGTTTGTTGAAACCGTAAGAGTTGAAAGCATCATTGTTGGAAAACTGGGGACACGTGGATTAGATTCCGTTAGCGTGTTCGTTTGCGTCGTGGTTGGTCAACCATCGAGACGCCGTCGATACAGTATAGCAAGCGCCTGAAAAGCGAATGTCTGTGGTATTTTGTGCCGCAAGCGAGTGAATGGTGAGTCTGTGTTTGCAACGTGGTTGGTTATCCATCGAGACGTCCTCCGTAAGCGCCTGAAAAAAAAAAAAACGAATTTTAGCGTGCTTCGTTAACCATCGAGACATCGTCGATACAGTATTATAGCAAGCGCCTGCAACGCGAACGTACGCGTTTGTGCCGTAAGTGCCTGTGCAGTGAACGTGTAGGTGTGTGTGTGTGTGTGTGTGTGTTTGTGTCACGGTTCACCATCGGTAGTCCGAAAGCGCCTGAACAAAGGACAGGCGAATGTAACGTGTTTGGTTGCGCTGTGGCTGTGGTTAACCATCGAGACGTCGTCGATACAGTTATAGGAAGCGCCTGAAAAGCGAATGTCTGTGGTATTTTGTGCCGCAAGCGAGTGAATGGTGAGTCTGTGTTTGCAACGTGGTTGGTTATCCATCGAGACGTCCTCCGTAAGCGCCCGAACAAAAAAAAGCGAATTATAGGGTGTGTCGCGGTTGACCAACGAGACGTCGTCGATACGGCATAGCAAGCGCCTGCAACACCGAACGCAGTTTTATTTTACCCTTCGAACGGTTTTTCTACGAAGTCAAACAGGTTGGACAAAGCATGCAATCGGGGGGAAGTCGGGTCATAGGGTTAGGGATTAGGGTCTTTTTGCGTACAACCCCTTCCCTGTTCTTACTTCCTCAAAATCTCAACTTCTCGCGAAGGCGGTTCACCGAACGTGTGCGCGGTGCTACGGTCAGCCACTCAACAACGACGACCTTGATTTCTTCCCGTGCACATAACTCGCCCCCCGCGCTTAAGAACCTCTACAGTATTACTAGTTTCGGCCGAGGCTGGGGTATTGAGTTCCTACTACTAGACATCGAAGATGTATTATAGTATACCTATATATTAACCAAGTAGTTATATGTAGGGTCATGCTAACAGTAGCCATGACCCAGGTTTTTCATGTAGGTCTTGGTTTTTTACCGGGCTCACAGAAGTTGCTCAAGTTCTCATCGATTTGGTAGGGTTGGGGACTGGCGCGCAGCGCCAGTCTCAGGAATACTGGCTGCGGCACGCAGCCAGTTTACTGGACACTATCAGTACACTGGCCACGCGGCGA